AATATCAGGACGATATATACATTTTAAGTTATTTTGTTTTCCCTCAAACACAGTTATTTACCCAAGACTTTCTTTCTTCACTATCTTATTGATGACAGCTGATGAACTACTTCAACTTTAGTCTTTCCATTATTGGAACCAACTCAAAATGAGACTTTTAAATCATAGTTAAACACTTTTAGAGCCTCTTGGATTGAGAAAATATAAGGTTAGTAGTCAGATCCCAGGTCCCAGCTTCCATAGATAATGACTGTTGCTTTTCAGCCCTCTCCACCCCCAGTAATCACTATAATGCACAGTCATCTCCTACACCAGAGAGGGCCACAGTACATGTCTCTGCATGAGAATATTGGCCCAAAGTTATCTGCAATTGCAATCACATTACACCAAGTTTAAACTAAGTTATAAAATTGCAATGCTTAAACAGCAGTTTGCAAACTCTAAGGAACACAAGTTATTTGTTGAGTTTGAAGTGTTTTGAATACATTATTGTTTATTTCAAGTTCTGCAACAATATGTGTTTGTGTAGGCACAAAATCTAAAGTAAAGCTTTAGCGCTGGCAGTTTTAGGCCATATTTGGCTTATTGATAATAAATAAATAAGCACAGCAGAGCACCACAGAGAAAATCTATTCATAATTGGATGAAAATATTCAGAATCTTGGATTTCAAAAAGGATTTTCCATTCCACCAAAACATTTTGATTTGATTTTCATTTCCCTCACATATTTATCCGCACAGCACCTTTGACAGCTTAGGCATCAGGACACTCATTTCTTAAATTATTACCTTTTCCCATTATTTCCCCCCCATGAGTAATTATCTTGGTTATTTAACAGTTTTTATCTGCTTTTATCCCCATCTGCTCTCTGCTCTGCTGTGAAAAGGTTATGTCACCAAACTGTGCGCCCAACAGGATTTAGCAACATTTTAATCTGAATCTGACGACAGCTGGATGGATGTTGTTTTCTGCTGGCGGTCATAAATCTGATCCAAACCACACCTTCGTAATCCCAGCGCAGCAGGTTTGGAGTGTTTACAGTGAGATTATGTAACCTTTCGAAGAACAACTCACAAATTTCTCCTACTCATTTCATAAACAGCCTTTTAGCTTAACTCAGCACACCTCGCAGTTTTGCTGCTGTAGTCTGGCATGACTTTAGATAGATACTACTATTGTTACTCTACATTTCAGCATCTTTATCTGATGCAGAAAGTTGAATACCCTTATTTAACAAGTAATAAGAAGATATATTTTTACAGGATTATATTTTTCATATATTTTTCAATAGATCGTCATGAATGTTTATTGCTATGACATAAAAAGTGCTCAGGGGCATTTAAAATATTGTTCTTTAGAGGAATGCAGATAATCTTACCATCAACATGAAGCTAATTAGATGTTTCCCAATGCTGCATCTCATCGGTAATTTGCTTGAGGATTGAGAATAACAGATCCTTAAATGTAGCAGGTCCAATGTCTGAATGTCCTCTGTGCCCATAAAATATCAACATTACAAATCCAAGGCATGCACTTACTGGAGTTGCCACTGATCCAAGTGACATCTTAATTTACGCAGTGGAAAAACTGCTAGCAACCTGTGTGGTCCTTTCACTCGGAGTGACCCCAGCGAAGGTCACAGGTTAAAGTTGTTCTTCATACCACAAGTGCTACTGTGTTGAGGTGTTTGACCTCATTTTGATCCTTTCATTCTCAAATAAAATAACATTTCCCAGAATTCATAGTGGTTAAGTATTCAGCAATCAGTGTAAGGATCAGTGTTATTGATTTTTTGTCAGCGCTTTCCAATTTTAAATTTGATGAATGAGCCCTGAGGTCAATCTATTTTTCCTTATATAATATCCACAGCTTCACTAATATATTTATTCACTTTGCTTGGACGTTTTGCTGGTTTTGGGATTTTTTTTTGGCATTAACAGTATGTTTTCCAGGATGATAGCTCATCTTGCTAATTTTTCTATCTAGTTGATTTTATTCTGGTCTTACTTTCATATGATGGTGTAGTTTTATATCTGCAGTTACCATAATATTTGTTGTCTGTTGTCAGATCTTCCGGAGGTGTTGGCTGGTGTTCAAGAAAGCCTCGAGTAAAGGACCCCGGCGGTTAGAGAAGTACCCAGATGAGAAGGCAGCCTACTTCAGGAGCTTCCACAAGGTAAACAAATGACTCAAAAACATCACTAACATCATTCCTTTTTTATTAACTGTTTGTCTTGATGTCTTCTTTAGTAGATACAATGATTATTGAGTACTAGATCAACATAATTGATTGTGATTTTGATCCTATGGCTGTGACTAATACGAGTTGTGATCATCTATCAGTTACTCCTTGATTAATCTGTCCATCACCCTATGAAATGACAACCTCATATTCCCAGCCCAGTGTAATGTCTTAGGTTAAGACAAGGAGTTCAAAATATTTAAAATAATATGTTAAAATTGATCAGGGAATTTTAACATTTCTGATTAAAAGAGGAAATAAATAATCCATCTTCTTAGCTGTGGGGATTAGGATTACTTTTCCATATGAAAATCTGTGGCTTTATCTGTGGCTCAAAAAGGATTTTCTTTAAATCTGAAGATGTTTAAAACATCATTAAATAATTTTTGTAGAGACGCACCGATTGCAGTTTTCTCAACAGAATTAGGTTTCTGATTTTCCTCCAAGTTTGACCTGCTGATAACAATTTTTGCTGATTCCACCTTTACCTGACAGATTTTACTGAACAAAACCAGGTGCAACAGATTCATGTAACACATTTTAGATACATTGTTTTCCAATATGTTTATCTCCATAATCTTTCTCATTACTGCTTTGATCCTTTCCTCTTTGAGGCTGCCGGCTTGTGGTTTGGGAAACACAACGGTTCACTTTAGCTAATTTTGGGCCTCCACTCACTTCCACGCTAACAAAGTAGCATGTGGCCATGAGTGTGTTCTTTTCTGTTCTATTGTATGACACATTATGAACAAAACAAGTACTCAATAGTCACTCTGAACAACGTAACATATTACATTGTATTTATTTACACAGTGCTGACTTTTTGTGTGCTGGACCAGTACCACGCTGTGGTATTCCCAGTGTTGGAGAGAAAATTCTCATTGTGGGTGGTGAGGTTTAAGGATGCCAATGTCACTCAGTTCATTGGTCGATCATGATAATGCAGCATGTAGTGACCGCATTACCGTGAAATTAGGAATCAATATTCATAATCTCCAGAGTATGATTCGTGATGATTTAGTAACACCCTGACCTTTCGTCTAATGTAATCATTAGACATCACTTTGTATTTGACTCTACTGAAGTCGATGAAACTGTAGCCTCTATAGAAAACCATATATGCAACAACCAGTGGGTATTTAAGGTCATTAGAGGACCTTGAAACTAAAAGTTTGTCCGATCTTTGTCCTCTTGAATCCCAAAAGAAGATTAAACCTGCTGTGTGACTCCTCATGTAGCAGCCTAAGGTACTGTCTAAATGCTGATGACATTGACATGCAGAGCACAATTACAAGACGGCAGCTGAGTTTCATTTTGCAGGTTGGCCAATTGGTGGAATTAATTTGCTTCAGCTGATAAAATCTGATGGAAGTGGTCCCCCAGTAAAAATGAGATGTCAGGAGCTGTCCTCTTAAAATCCTCCTGTCCTCTTCAAACTACAGAAACAAATGTTCTGGTAAAAGTCTCATGTGAACTGATTTTCAAGATATATGTATATTTTTTTCAATTTCCAGCACGACTTCTAAGAAAAGTATCTGCTGCTTATCTTTTAAGAGTATATTACTCACAAGGTGCTTTTTACACTGAATAAAAAGATTATGGAATATGGTTGTGCACAACTGTGCCTTGTTTTCATCTTGATGTATTAAGTTCTGTCCATTGGCCTCAGATGATGAAGTTAAGGATCTATTAAGACACAGTTTGTAACTTTATCTTGTCCTTTGGGGCCTTTTTCCTCCCTTCAGAAAGTAATAATCCAGAGTATAATATCTCACTCCCTGCCTCTTAAGCCCTTTTGAAATACTCCAATTATGGCTCATTATCATGGTGAGTGGAGACGATGTTAAAGGAGTAGCACTGTGAACTATGTTTTATCATAATGAGGGGAGATAACTGCAGATAATAGGGGACTGTGACATCAGTTTCTCATAAGGCGATATGTTTGAGAGAAGATTTAGTACTCTTTACTACTTGTGATTGTGAGTCAGCTGTGAGATTTTTCATTTTTGGTAGAATTTAACATTTTTTTCCACATTCCTGTCTGAGAAAGCTTGTATACAAGCTAGGTAGGTGTTTTGATCCATTTCCTTAGTTCGCTTTGCTGCTACAGTATCAGCCATGTATTGTGAATGAAACATCTCTATGCCTACTGCATCATGCTGTCACATGGGGCATCCTGTGTGGCTGTAACTCCCCTCCCAGAGGGATCTCATACACCCAGTGCTGGAGTGAGCGATGAGTGCACACATGCACCAGTGCGCCTGGTAATGCATCGCCACAAAGATCAAGAAAGGTCCCGTCTGAGGGCTTCATTCAACGCTGCAGTGCTTTGGGGGGAAATAGGCTGCACTGGTGGCTGATTTACACAATCAACACAAAGGGGATTGGCTTTTTTTCCCTTTCTTTCTCCATTCCCTCTTTCTCTCCCACTCGTCTCCCTCTCCCTGTGCAGTTTTTGCTGTCTGAGGAGCACTGGTCCACGCAGTAAAAAGTCCCTGAATATTTTTAGCTCTCTGAAAAGTTGTTCTCCTTTGTGCTACATTTCCTGAGCTCTCCTGAGGTCCTGACAGGAGCAGTTAACATGAAATGATGGAGCTGTAGCTAAATGCCTAATTTGTACACATGGATGTGGAACTAACCAGCAAAGCAGGGAGAGCTGAGCAGACTGAGCCTCACTAGTGCAGCTGGTTGTTCCTCCAATTTGGTCAAAATAGCAAAAATTATTGTACAAACTATGTTGCACTTTTATACAAAAGCCGAATGACTAAATTCATATTTTATGTCTGTTAAATCAGAACCAGATCTCATCTGAACAAAATCCTGTAGCATGTGTGGGTAGGGCGTAAAGTTTAAGCTCGCTATGAAACTCGGATGATCTGATATC